CGTTCTCATCCTCGAGTCGGTAACCTAATGGAACTTTAGCGTTGTACTTGTGCTTTAGTGTTGAACGCCAGGTAGCAGAGCGACTGTTATCAACTTTCCGCTTGAAATTGAGCTGCGGTTTAGGTAGACGAGAAGCATGCTGCAAGACGGGGTCCAAACGACCCGGGGCTGCCTTCGGTCTTCGTTCCTACATTTGACCAATTGAACAGATGGACGCGACAAATTGAAATAATATACGTACCTTGGGAACGCGATCGCTAGGTGGATTTACGGAGATGGCGGGTGCTCGAGAATGTCCCAAGTATTCGTCGAGCCTCATGTCCTATATAGGATTAGGGAACATGAAAATATCTTGAGCCCAGAAGTACTTACAGTCTGTTCGAGCATGTAGTCCATTGCATCAACAACAAGCCCATGGAACTGATCCACCACATCCTCTTCACTCTCTATCCGCGCCCGCTTCCTACTTCGAGACTCGCTTCCAGAAGCTGCAAGGCCCAGCAGTTTGTTGAGAACAGAGAGAGCTTTGTCTGTGCAGTTGTCCACATCTTTTGCAATCTCCTTGCCGAGTGAGCGATAGAAAGGAATATCTGAAGGTAAGGATGCGGAGAGACGGGTCGCGTTCAGAGCCGAGCTTTGCAGTTGAGCGTTGTAGGCGTCGACATGGGCCGCTGAGAGTTGGGCAGAATTCTCCATAGGACCATGCGGTATACCAGATGAGAGAAGAAGGACGTGGTCGGGACGAGGGCTCTGTATATCGTGCAAAGCGTTCTGGCCGTTTGGTACACAACTTTTCTGCAGAAGAGATTGCCTTTTCGGGGCACTCATCCTCTCTCAATGCACGTGACCCCATGGCAGCTACATCCGCGCGACGCGCGCCCATTCAACGTTTCTCAGACTTCGTCGTGCAATCGTCCTTGTCCGGACCTTTTTCCCTGAAGAGCCACATTCTCGTCCATCCAACTCAATCGCGCTACCGGTAATATTTTCATGAATATCAAATCCATGACAAACGTGGTTTGACCAGCCTGAGAGGTTATTGCATTGCGGCACGGTATACTTTCCCGGGCTTGGTCCGACTCATAAATGTTTGGGGTCAGGTAGAGTATTTCTACTGCCATGCTTTCGTCTCGTCTAAATGCCCGATTGTTTCTGCTCATTGATCATCTACCTTTGGCCTATATCTAAGGTGAGCGCAGGTCACGGTGCAATGTTTCCGAAAGCTTGTATTTAGGAAAAACGCACCGGCCACGTTCTCCGCTTCCTGTCCATATGACCGTTCTAAGCTTACAGATTACCGCCTCACATTGTATAACGCGGACACCTCAGCGCCGAATGACGAACAATCCAACCCGGCCGTTCAATTCAATTGCGATATTGATTTGACCTTAAGTCTGGCCATCATACGCCGTGCACAGTGCATCCGACATCGGACATCGGACGTTGGACAAGACTGGACGGACAAGTCCGCAGTATAACAAACTGCAGGAAGACGCATGGATGTGATACGCTTTGACTGTGGCAGTAAGATGGCACACCGCGTATACTAGTAATAGTAATGCCGCAGTCTATGTAGTTCGCCGCATTTCCCTCTCATGCATTGAACTTTCTAACAATATACTGACCTGACATGATACATCTGTCGTTAGATGCTTGTTCCTGAGCGGGGGGATATAGATATCAGGCACATTTCACAGGTCTCTCTTGGCTGTGACTTTCCTAAGAATACGTATACACACCCATCTATCGTTGCACATGCCATCGGGCACGGGACATCTGTGTCAATGCCGGTGTGGCATGGTACCGCCCGGTCTTGGGCTTTGCAGAATGAAGCAAGACAATACGGTTCGTTTAAGCAGTAAAATGCATACGATCCATGAAGGCTATGTAAGCAGAAGGACGTTGAGACCCGTCGGAAACATGGAGATGTGAAGATGAAAAGGCGTGGTACGGTACTGGCGCAAGAATACAATGAACTACAACGTCACAAACCGTTAAGCTTTGCAAGATATTCAATGAACTTAATGAACTGAGCTACAACAACAAGTACATAGTACTACCAATCAATTGGCAGAGAAAGGAATGCAATAGCTAGCTAATACACGATGTTTCGAAAGTGGAAGCTGAAGTAACATTGGGGAAGGTAATAAGTCATTAGCTCATTTTGGACAAACTCGAGCGAGAAGTAAACCAAGGACATCGAGAGATTCAACGTTCAATAGTCAAACAATCAAGAAGTGAGCCCCAGATCCCAATAAGAAATGAAGATGACGCGAGCAATTAGAAGAAGCGGGGTGACAAGGATCGAGGCTATCGAACCTACTACATCGGCGTACGAACGAGGACGTGGACGTGCATTCAACAAAGTCGTGTCGTGATGGATGAACGTGAGGCAATGACGACGGTGGACACGCGGTGACTGATAAAGTAGGTCAGACAAGGAAGTAGATGAATGAGAGGTGTCTTTAGGTTTTATGGTTAGGCGATAGAAGAGCATTGACGCGTCACAGGGTAGATAGAAAGGCAGATAGGCATTCCGATAAATTGTGAAGATGTCAAGAGCGAGGAAGGGGTAGGGTAAGGGGCGGCAAGATAGGGATAGAGAATTCAAGGAAGGGTCCAATCGACAAGTAAGCAAAGGTGGAGATGAAGAAAGGCAGATGGGGTAGATTTGGTTTAATAGTTAGACGAAAGCAGGGGAGGGAAGCACAACAACGACGCGAGGATAAATGAAACTTTAGATCTATGAATGACATCAGAGCTGGTTTCTTGTCACATCTATCTTTCATTCCCGACTCACCAAAGCACGAATCGAATACAACATCCTTTTCCTTCCAAAAACAAGAACAACGAAGGACACCTACGCAACACACACCTCAACGAGCAACTCAATCCCTAGCAGGCGGCGGCATATCCGGAATCAGATAATGCAACGGCTTCCCACTTCCAAAGCTAGACTTATGGTTCAAGTTAGGGAGGTTCAAACCAGGATGAGTCAACGCGATCTCCTCCAGATCCTCTCTCGAGATCTGCGCTCCTCCAGCAACGTTCCCAACAGACCCAGAAGAGTTCTTGGCGGCGGCAGAGGCAGAGTAGAACCCTGTGCTGGTGGGGGCGCGAGAGGAGGCGGCGCTCGGAGCGGTGGCGGAGTCTTGACGGGCGACACCGGCGTTGGAGGTGGGGGAGGGAGAAGTCGAAGTGTCGTCGTAGGTAGGGACGGGCTTCCTCGCTGCTCGTCTGCTGTGTCCTACAGTACCGCCGCTCTTGCCTTCGTTGCCGGAAGCAGATCGTTGCATGGGAATGAACTCGTTAGTAGGGGACAGGGGGCTGGTCGGTTGCGAGGTGTACGCATCGGAGAAGGAAGCAGATAGAACTCGACCATCAAGGGATTGCCTTTGGTGATGATGTTGAGCGGACCGCGGGGAAGGCGGGTAGACGTTATAATTATCGATGTTTCCGCCGTTATTGTATCCGCGAGTGCTACTGCTCGAAACACTCGACTCCCTCTTAAGCTCACCGCCGACGGAATCCAACTTCGCCAACGCGGAAGCCCGATTCTGCGAAGTCGACCGTGTCCTCGAAGTCGGTGAAGTCGGAGAAGTCGGCGGACTGGGGAATCCCGAACTAGGCAAGGAAGACCTGCGATTGTTCCCACCGGTGTGGTTGTACGGCAACGGGGGCACGGTCTCAATAAACTCCATTGAGCGTCCTTTGGACGATCCTTTTTCTTCAGCTAGCGTAGATACGTCCTCATCTGAACCTATTGGAGAGTGGATCGTCGTTGCTGTGGCCCCTCCGACAGAATCTGTCCTGCGCGGATATTGCTTCAAATCCGCTAAGCCACCACTGTGAAGATTAGCAGCATTGGAATGGGCGGCGGCGATAGGGAGGTTGCCGAGAGCGGTATTGCCAATGTTAGAATCTCTGGAGGACAGCCCGTTCCATTTTCCTGCACCCCCCTTGCCAGAGGATGCACCGCGCAAAGTGGTAAAACCGGCGCCGAAGAAGCGACCGGATGATGATGAACGCTGCCTCGAGGATCTGCGTAAGAAAAAGAGCAGTCCTAAGAGCGCGGCTACGAGAGCGACACCGCCAATGACACCACCGGTGATGGCGCCCGCGACACGCTTTGAGTTGGACGAAGAGGAGGAAAGTGCACCGGAAATGGGGACGGAGGACTCGGTAGGGGACGAGATCGGGTTAGACCAGGTCGTGGCGGCAGGGTAGGAGATGAGACAGGAGGAATCAGTGCCGTTTGAGACCCAGAATGTGTCGGAGGAAAATGAGGAAATGTCATTAGGCTCGACGACTGTCCCAGTAAGCTTGTAGTACCCCTGAGGGATGGTGACAGGGACCCAATCATAGGACGAGTGCTCGAGGGGGTCAAGATTGGTCGTAATGAGCATGTTCACGTCCACGGGTGTGATGCTGCCTCGGACGGTCGGGGGAACAGAGACGGCATGGGAAGTGACATAGATCGTGAGGTTGGAGACGTCGACGGTGTCGTATACATTCCAGGAGATCGTCCCGGGCTCACAGGCGGTCAGGTCTTGCGGTGTGACGAACGCAACAGGGGCCGTGGCTGACGGCAAGGCTGCTGAGCCTGTCGAGATGGGGAGACGCGAGGGCCCCGGGAGGGATGGGGAGGGGTCCATGGTGGAGATGGGGAGAACAGAACCAGGGAAGGTTGGGTTCACAATGCCCGCCATTGCAGTTCTTTAAATGTATCAAGGGTCAGTTGCTGATACAGATGGAGTCTGAGGTAAGCTGACCGTCAGTGCAGCGAATGGCCTGTGCTATCTCGTCCAAAGCAAAAATGAGAACCCGGGCCAGTGTGCTGTGGTGAACGACACCTCTGCCTGCCGTCGTGAGGGGCAAAAGCAAGAGATGAAGTCCCCCTGAGCCTCCTCTCCCAGACTCTCCCCTGGCCAGCTGGGGATCTTGCCGAGAACCTCCCCCGGCTGATCCAAAACAAAAGCTTCCGAACACGAGAAAAAAGCTGGTTCAAGCCGGGATCGAACCGGCGACCGTCTGTGCACATGTGTCTTGGAGACCAAATGTAAGACAGACGTGATAACCACTACACCATTGAACCATGTCCGAAAAATGGTTATGATGTATATTCCGAATTTGAGTTGACCATTCTCGCTCCCCACTCTCATTACAATTTCAGCTTGTTTCTTCTTTCAAGTCAACCAAAATCTCATTACTTTCCTGTAATCCCTGATAAACACCTCGGTATGTATCATCGAGGATACAAGTACTGCGTCACATTGATACAAGACCAACAGGTGTGCTTGCGCAAACAACGCCACAGTTGTATACATCTCGCCCGGAGTCGTGCATGAACCTGTAGTAGCTACTCGCCACGGCTCCTCCGAAGACTCCTTGTTCTCATCTTGACGTTACACCGACCCTCGTTAACCCACTGAACTCTGAAACTGCCTTTCAAACATTTCCCTGGTACGTCAAACAAATCCCCCTCCACTGTAATGACTGACATCCGCCACTCAACTATTTGTTGGAGTAGTATTTGAGCACTTTGAAGTTTGGGTTGCATGCCCGAAAGCTCAACATGCCTGTTATTAGCGCGTCGATTGACGCGTTTGTGGCCACATCCCTCGCTCTCCTTGTTCCCCTCACCATATTCCTCCGCCGCCACCGACAATCCACTTCGAATCACTACGAAAGTACCATTAGAAGATACCTTACCCCCCTCGTCATCCTTCATACGCTCTATATATTATATACCATCTCGGTGCTATGGCCACCGAATCTCTTCACGGCATTAGACTTGCCACTCACGACGCCCTCGGAGACTATTAGAGCCGTGTTGCTGCGGAAGGCGGGGCTTATGGATGAATATGGGCTGTCGAATGATGCAGGTTTGCCTAAAGCACTTGAAGGACTCCTAACTAGACTATCCTCATTCGAAATGAGGGTCTTATACATAAGGTCTCACTCCTTTTATCCCTGAGCTCCCTCCCCAGCTAATTCCTCTTGTGAAGATTCGGACAAGCAGTTATCCAAGACTGTACACACTGCTCCTCATTTGAAGAGTACGCGTTATACGCTCTACCCGGGCCTCTACTTCAATATGTCCGGGAAGCGTTCCTGATAGGTCTCCTCACCATCCGAGGAAGCTTCCGGGAGAGGTGGAGACTTTATGCTATAGGTGCACTTGCAGTCTCTGCTGCCTTCGAGGCGTATTATGTCGGTACTTCGAGTGTAAAAGTGCCGAAGGATGGGAGAGGGGTATTTATGGTATGAGTTACTCCGAATTTTCTCGCGAGGAGTGTCGAGGCTAATTGGCTATTGGAATAGCTACACGACAACCTCTGGCTCATCCGGAACCTCATCTTCCTCTTTCTCCCTCTCCTCATCCACCTCCTCCCGCCATCCCCTCCAGCGTCCTACGCCATCCCCTCACCCACCTCCTCAACACCGCAAAACATCCCAACACTCCTCATGAACACTTCGCTATCCATCCAAACCACTTTGGAACGCCTAACCTCCCTCAAATACATGCATGGCGCGATCATGCGCGACCCAACTCTGCATAAAGCCTCTTCGAATTGGTGGGAGAAGCAGAAGAGGTGGGGTGAGATCGTAAGAGGTGCCCCGAGGGTGCAAGAAGCGGCGGAGAAGTCTGGTTTCGGATTCGTTGACGAGTTGGCTGCACCTGTTGTCGTCGAGGGCCAGGAAGTGCAGGGTTGGGCGGTGTTGAAGAGGAATGCGAGGGTGGCTGCGAATATGTTGGTCAAGGCTGCTACTTCTGGTGTCAGTAGTAATGGCGCCCCGTTGCAGTCATGATCTAGCTGAAAGGCTGGGGCTCGGGACTATGTACTCTGATATCTCTCCCTTCGCATTGTATTACTTATACCGTCATTGCGCATTGTGTAGATTAGACCATTGTAGAGCTTCAAGCTGAATACCCTGAATGGATAGGTCCTCGTTGCATATCTTACCTATATCCAAGGCACCGGTATGGATGAAGTACCCTAGAGCAGTACCAACGAGACTCAAACACTGAAGAATTATGAAGAACAGATCGATGCAAGTCTATATTTATTGGATACGTTGACCCACGAAGGGGAACTCCAGGATCTCCGCAGGCCAGACGACAAAAAGTGAGTTGGTATATAAAGTAATCATACAAGAACTTCGGAAGAAAAAGCAGACTTGAGCACTCGAGCAGAAAGGATCAAGGAACGGAAACGTATATCAGGAATCGATGCGGGTTGGCGATGTATGTGTATGTTGAGACGTTTAACTACCTACTTGAGATTCTGACTCGCGCAATGATGATAATGGATGAGGATGGGGGGAGGGCATAATGTCCGGTGTCGTGACAAAGGTTGAAAGTCAAAATAGCAACGCAAAGCATGGCAGCAAGGTTGAGCATACCTTACGTTGTTGGTGAATTGAAAGCAAAAAAGAAGATTCGACGAGACACATCTTGACAGTTTCGTCATCATGAAGAGGTCTCTGTGGCAGGGGAGGCAGTGTCTTGCTCGCCTTCTTCAGCTTCGGTGATAGGTTCTAGTGGGTATGGTCCTTGTTCTTTAATCTCCTCTTCCAGTGCTTTGCGGCCTGCTTCGGTGAGAGTTGGGATGCCCGACTCTAAATCGTCTTCGAAGTATTTCGGGACGAACCTGGAGTGACGTGTATAATTAGCATCCAATACATAAATAGACAGCCAAAGCAAAAGAAAAGGAGATCGATGACTTACTTCTGGCCCTTTCTCTTCCTCTCAGCAGCATCGTCCCTCTGCCTCTGCTCAATGGCCAACTTATGCTTCGTCGCCTCCGAATATTCCTTCTTCAACAAATTACTCGTCACATTCTCCCAAAGCTTCCTACTCTCATCCGGTAATTGCCTGTCCAGCTCCCTCACACTCTTCGGGATGACATGCAACGTCGACAAGTCTATCAAGGTCGCGTAGCTCGAATCGGGTTCCGAAGGTCTCTTCCATCTGATCACGTGTTTCCAGGACCCGTCGAATTGGGCGAGGACGCGAGAACGAGGGACGTGTTTCACTTTGGTCCATTCTTGGTGTTCCGACGAACCTGGGGTATAAGTGTGGATGACACCTTCGCAAAGGAAGTGGGCTTTCCCCAACCATGACTCTTCCTTGTACTCGATAATCGCTCGAAGGTGAGGTCCATCCTTGTTAGGTCCTCCCTCACAGGTGATGATAGTCGAGTCGGAGATGGTCGCGTAGAAACTCCCTCTCAAGATACCATTGACAGCCGCAGTAGGGTGTGTGATTTGATACGTCTCCCCTGCACCAGGTCCTCCCTTGATACGAACAAAGATACCCTTGTTGAAGTTCCCGGGGGTGATACGAATCGTCGTCCCAGAAACCTTCGCGGAAATCTGGTCAATCCCCGTCATCTCGATTTGCCTGCTGGGGCAATAAGCAGCAAAGGCTGAGACGGGAGGGTGGTGAGAGATCTGTTCGGTCAAGAACGCAACCCTAACACGGGGATGATCAGCCAAGGAAGGCGGAGCGTCGTCTCCTTCAATCAAGTCTCCCGATTTGGACGCGTTGATATTGCCAAGGCTCAAGTTGGACATCTGGGCGTCCAATTCCGCTTCGAAGAGCTCAGGCGAGGTTGCAGGTGTACTCCTGCCAGGAGTTCCTGGGCTGGAGTACGCTTCCTTGCGAGAGAGTATACTGCTTACTCCGCTCTTGCCACTCTTGCCACTCTTCATGCTCGCGGACTCGGAGAACGGCCGGCGAGCTAAGGACGCAGCTGAGAGCGCCGACAAGCTCGACTGAGCTGCGGCTTCGGAGAGATAGAGATGCTGAATCGGGGGTTGAGAGGGGTCCGCCGGGTAGCTCACGGGAAGAACGTCCCAATGGGCGCGGAAATGCTCGCCCAAGACGGAGTTGTACGGTTTGCATATCTTTCCGCGCTATGAAGCAATGCATATTGAGCACAGCAATCAAGATGACAGACTATGGGCAATGCTTACGATGAACTTGAGGTCCTTGGAGAAGGTAAAGCGTAAGACAGCGAGCATACGCTCGAAAGGGTCATCAGAGTCATTAATCCTACGCGTCGATCTTCAGCATACGCTTGATAGCGCTACTTTAGATATCTTCGACTCACGCAGCAAACAAGTCAGGTCTATCGAGATAATGCCAGTATTCGAGGTTTGGAATAGGCTCCAGCAACGACGCGGGGAGTGAAAGTCGCCTAAAATTCGGATCTGAGGTTAGACACGACAATGATACAGTATAATAGAGATTGCAAAGCGAGAAGCATACTCGACTGAACGGGTCGCAGTCAAGCATGATTTAATGGGTAACAACGTACATGGAGGCGATGTCCTTCACCCCGAGGCATTTCTTGACGAGCTGGACAATCATCTTGAGCTTGCCCTCGCCCGTGTCGCCTGCGTCGGGGACAGTGACGGGTTGCGTAGTGGTCTCATCCTCAACGTTCGCGTTGGTGGCATCGTCTTGCTTGCTGGGTTCATTGGGAGGAGCCATGGTACAGATGGGTAACCAGAACACAGAAGAAACCAGAAGAAAGAGGAATGCAAATGAGAAGGAAGACGAAGGAGAAAGAGAAGGACGGACAGCAGCAGCAAGTCTGAGAGATTCTCAAGCGACTGCCTCCACTGGCACAGCTGTGCCAACCCAAGCTGTGATATTGAGCACTTGGCAACTCGCCATCAAGAATAAAAAAACTGGTTCGACCCGGGTTCGAACCGGGGACCGCTCGTGTACCACTAATGTGAGACGAACGTGATAACCAACTACACCACCGAACCGCGGAAGTCAGGGTTGCCATATTACTTATATACCCAACACTTGTTTGGAATCATTGAAGGTCTTCCGCCGAAGTCTTCTCAAAGTTCTCATGAATCTTGCAACCGACCACAGTATGTCACCATAGGACATACTCGGCTCTAACTACCAGGTATAAACCCTGTTTTTCCAATGTATGCAGTGTGCCAACAGGACCCGTGATTTACAGACCATTTACAGTGTACCTCTCAAACAATGACGGAAAAATACTGTTCAACCTGCCAGACTCATTATACGGAATGCCAATGATACCACACACAATCCAAACAACA